TGACATCAAAAAGGTTTGAAAGCTTTGCAGGACGTGTTCTGTTGGAAAATCCGGCGATTTCGTGGGACATGTTCTATCGGCAGAGTCGTTTGGATTGGAATGGTGGATGATTTATTGTTAGCATAGGGGTTTGGGATTTTCTGTCTGCCGTTTTGTCTGGTAATGATAGTCGTGTCGGGGATTTCGTAGATAGTATCTCGCACCGAGCAGGGGGGCTGTTTGGGGTGCTCGGCAGAGTGTACTGTCTACGGGGCCTCCGGGGGGTACGCGGATGGAATGTATTGACAGACATGCTGCATGGCGATGGTGTGGCCTACCGCATGTCTCTTACCCTCTTGAGTCAACCTTCTTTCTCTTTCGGCCTCTGACGAGCTACCGCACCCAAAAAACGACACGCCCTGACAGACGATTCGATGCCACTGACTGTGTGCCGACTAGTCTACTGCTTTGCGTGGTAGTCTGGGAGAATAAAGAAGTACTCCATACTTACTCCAAGTATGGTCTACATATATACTATTGATTTGTGCAAGCTCACAACAACAGCAGGAAGTAGTGTTGCGGTATTTGGACCCTTGGACTAAGATATCATCTGGGCGGGTATACCTTTCAGGAATACTCCGACTACCTGCCCACATTCCTAGTATGTATTCCCACTTGAGGCAGGTAGCGGTACAATGGTTACTAGCAGTAGCAAGCGATGAAGACTACAAGCGTTCCACCTTGCTTGCTCAGTTGTTGTTGTTGTTGTTGTTGTTTCTCACATTAGCTCTATAGTCCACAAAAAAAAATGGGGAGCCCGTGGTCTCAAAACCAGGCACATACGACGCCGCGGGGAAACAAAACAATAATAGGGTGTAAACCACTCGGAAAAAGAAACAAAATGATATGAAAGAACAGGTACCGCACCGACCGTTCGAGAAAAGAGCCCTCGGAAACCGATCAAAATAAAACAAAAACAAAAATATGTTCTCCCGCGCCGCACATGCCCCCATACATCACATACAAAAAATATGTTGATCACGAAAATATATACACACCCCGAGGCGCGCTTTCTCCGCAATCACATAAAAAGGGTGCTATAATAGAACACCCGACAAACCAAGTTCCCCTCTAATTCTTCCGTCTACAAATAAATGCCGAACAGAAAACATACAAATGGATACACAAGATGGCTACCAAACTGCCTTGTTGAGCCTGTTACCCATAGGGGAGTTATCGTTGTATGCTGTCTGGGAAACCGTAGACATGCAGGTAGCCTTTCGCTCACGCTATGGATTCATTGCTTATCTGTCGTAGACATACTTCTATAGATCGAGATGGATTTGTTGTGTGATATTTTATATCTATATACGAAAAAAATAAAATTAAGGATGATGCTTCCCACAATCGCCCAAATAAAGAAAAAGTCAAAGGGCAACGTACCAGCACCAGGCACCACGCACCAGGGCATGGGTCAGGGTTGCCTGGTGTTCCCTAGTGTTATTGCCTGGGAGTGAGCGATAGCGAGCGACTGAGAGAGAGGATAGGATAAGGAAGGAAACCGACTGAAAAAGCGAAGCGGCTCCAACCTGCACACACAGTCAGTGGTCGGACGAGCTCCACACTGACCCCGCTCCAGCGATCGTCACATCTCGTCACAGTAGGCTAGTCGCTCCAGAGATCGTCACATCTCGTCACAGTAGGCTAGTCCTCCTGCAAGGTGGATGGTGCACACGTCCTGATGAGGTTGATCTGTTGCGAAATGTGTGACGTTGGTGCTAGGGGCAAATACATTTGGATGCATAGTACCAACGCGTAGGTTATGTCCAGAAACGTGCAGGGAAACACGCCCTGACAAGAGATTCGATATCACCGCGTGTGCCGACTATTTTTTTTTTTTTATCCCATGATCGGAGTCTGTCGTCTGCCCCTCTGGCCCCTATCCTCCACTTCTGCTAGACGACGCAACCGGGGTCACATAGGAGGGGGGGGCTAGACCCCCTCCTGCGGTTCCTGCCTGAGGTATTTTTATCGCGAGAAGGGTACAGCAATCCCTTCCCTCGCAACTTACAAAGTCGATTAGACTATGGTTTACTAACAACGAGCTTTGCAATTCGTCGTTGTCATCCTAGACCACCAGGATATATTTAGTGAGAAAAAACTCACTCTGCCGGGACTCGAACCCATGACCTGGCCCTTAGCAGGCTGCGAGGTTACCCACTAGACCACCGGGCGGGGCGACCGGGTCCGACTATCTACTCTGTGGTCCTTCGTCAGTCTGGGAGACCAAAAATGAATTTGTGCAACCGGTACTACACAGCAGTGCGCAGTAGTTCTGCAAGCTGGTTGATGCACAACCTGATGAGTGAGGTTGATTGACCTTTCGCGAGATGTGTGGCCCGTATACTAGGGGCGAGAGGAGAAATTTCATGTGTCCATCGGGTCACGTAGACTATACGTAGTCTGTGTATTATGTTGAAAATTTGAGGAGAGACTTTCATGCCGCTTCAAACAGTAGTAGATGGTGAGACTGACATGGTGGCTGGTCACAATCAGCACAATTTGTCTGAAAGAGACGACAGAGTACCACTGCGAGTGGTCCACTGACTACGGTTTACTGCTGTGGTCCATAGTCAGTCTGGAAGGAGAAAAATAAATACACACATCATCCTGATGAGGTTACTAGAAGAGTGCTGGTGAGATGTGCTCTGCCTTCGAGCACTGCCTCGCCTGCCTTGCTTGTCACACCAGTGGGCATCGCGCGCTTTCAGGCATAGTCTAGTCCACTGGGCTGTGTCCAAAGTCGGCGACTTTCGTGCATGATTCTGTACCAATCGTGGACGTGCACATCCTTCCCGTAGTGGGTGCGGCTGTACTTGCGACCAGTGGGGGGAAGTAAAACTGGGGGTGATGATGAGGGAGGGGTGGTTCGGTTATTCCATCACGGAGGAGACCTGCGAATGAGCCATACCACAACGGATGCGTTATCACAAGCTGATATAAGCGTTAGCACGAAACTCGCAGAAGGGGCCGAACGGGCTAGGAGAGACACCTCTTCCAACCCACACGAAAATCTGTTGTTGCAATCTCGACATGGACCGAAGGAAAACAACTTGCTTTTAGAGACGAGACCGGATATCGCCTCTTCTAAAACCAAGTGAAATGCAGAAAGTGGGGCCCCTTTTTGGTGTCACAAAAAGTGGGGTCATTTTCGAACGCAAGAAAAGGTTGTATTTGAATGTACCTTTTTAGGGTAAGTTAGCCTGCGACCACGGGAATCGACCGCGTCGAGTGTTTTATCAGTACGGACATACGACGGTACTGGGCAGAGAGAGATCGGAACGGTTATTAGTGTGAAGACAACAACAACAACAACAACAAAGGTCCTGAGAATATCGGCGACAGAAACTGATCGATGGTCGTTTTGCGGCCAGCTGACAGACAGGTTTACTCTTCCGCCTTCATTCGCTCGGTTAAAAAACATCATGTATAGTCTATCCTTCACCGGTGGTGTACATCGCGTCACGCAATGGCAAACAACAGCTTCAAGGCCAAGCGGAAGGACAAGCAGTGACGAACGGCAAGTGACGCACGCAACAGCAGTGCCTGCTGTTGGTGTGTTTGGATACGGACTGGTTAGATCTACCGGAAACAAGAGGGCACGCAGAAGGGGCATATGTACACCTTGAAATGGTTGCATGTGCGGGGACCCCTCGAACTCCAAAGGGGCTCCACTTCCTTCTCCCCTTGCGTGTCTAATACAAGAGATGAAACGTCTTCCCCTTCCAAGAAAAGGACATATACGAACAGCCGCCTGTAGCCCGACAAAAACTAAGTACTGCACTTGATATGCATCTGTCCACCGGCTGACGTGCAGACCAAACGGTCCCACACGACACAGTTCGACTGGTGACGCTACATGCTAACGACACTGGCGACAACGCATCGTACCAGTTGTGAACCACAAAGAGCATCAACATAAGCAACCACAAGGACAACGACAACGGCCGCGGCGGCGGCGGCGGCGATACAGGCCGTGTACAACACCTAATCTAGTTGTTTGAACGGGAGCCGTGTTCTTCGAACGAAGATGAAGCTACGCATACACAGTAGTATAGATGGTCTTGGAGGTGCGGTTCTTCGCCGAAAAATAGTAACTGGGTGCTCTTGACGCTGTGAGGGCAAGGGTGATGGCGCAATAGCTTCAGATTCTCACGTCGACGGCCGTCGACTCCACTTGCTTGCGTGCCGCGCGTGCCCCTTGTCTGTGCCGGAAAAAAGACAGCAACCACAGTCACTCAATATTTCCAAATTTCCGAACGATCTAGGACCAGTTTGGACTTGACCCGCAGGCTCCGCATTACTCTACCGATTCCGCCCCCAACCCATACCTTTTTGTTGTCCCTTTCTGTCCCCCATCCCCTTGCGGTGGAACGACGCGTTTTTTTTGCACTGAGGCACACGGGGGATACCGGAGGGTATTTACGTATTATGGTATGGGGATAATCAGACTTTCACTTCGGAACCAGGTACATTAGGAGCAAGTCGCGCTCGGATCGGCCCTCTACTCCTTGCGGTGGGTGCGGCAGATCCCGCATCCTGAACGGCACGTGGACTATCTCAGAGAAACCCTGCTCAACGGGGGAGGTAGCGGTGGCGGGTACAGGTGGGCATCGCCACAAACACACACACACAAGCAAGAGGTGGGCTCGCGTCAGTAAGCCAGTCATAGGTTCCTACGACAACTTCCTTCGGATATTCATTCAGATAGAACGTTTTCGATCGGCGCAAGGGCTAACAAAACCGGGGCCGGTCCAATACCTGCCGTGCGCTCGAACATCGTTGTAGCTGCTCGAACAATGGCATACTATTTTCCCCGTCTCATCCGATCGGCCGTGTTTGAATCATTGAGTTTCCTCGCCTACATGTCATTTCACCTATTTTCCGTTGCTTCAGTACGTACAAGAATTTCTAGTGTAGAACGTACTGTAGTATACGATCACCCCGGTCATTTGACGTGAGTTCGATTTTGTTCCGTTCTTGTCTTTCTTTTCCGACGGAAACAATGACCTCCCATGCGGCGTCGAAACGTGTTTCTCCATGTACCGAATTTATCTATTCAACGCCTCCAGATCCCCGCAACTTCCTAGAAATTCGACGTCGTCAGCACCGCTTGGCACAGCAACACACTCGAACAAAAGTCCTGTTGGGTAGGGGGTGCTTATCGTCAGAGGCTGTGGTCACAAGGTTGATTAGAGACCTTTGACCATTTCGTGCGAACAGGGCAAGCAAGCCCTGCATACTAGAAGCCCTCCCCCCCCTCCAGTATCACATATCCGCATACACGAAAACCCCTAGATCTCCGTAGATCCGCATCTTGCGCTGAGTACACCCAACAAGTCCCACGACCGAACGCGAGTAAGGACTGGATTCCGTACTGTATTTATTCGGTGCAGCATCACATTTCACTGGATATAATCACCGTAGGTATTAGTCGTAAACGCGCGCACCTCGTTCTTGTGGGGAGGGTCCACGTACTTGAACCACGTGTGGATCACCACGTCGGGGACTTTGCGACGCTCCCCTTCCGGTGACCAGGGGTTGCACCCCCTGAAAGCGTTCAGATGAAAGCACGCCTCCTGCGGCAGTTCAAGTCGACAAGCCCTATTGGTTAAAGGGCAGTCGATCTTGAACATATTTTGGTGGTGAAATTCAGTGTGCTTCATGGGATTGTTTGTGCTGGTACCACCCGCTGCTTGCTTCCCTGGCGTGCGGCACTAGACGACGTCGTACCCTCAGGCTCTGAGTGCTTCTGTCTACTGCACGTTTCAGGCTCCACTTCACTTCGCCGCAAAGGTCCCTGTCGCACCACCAAATTGAGTCTGCCTTAGGCGACATGGCGCACCACACCACACCCCCTGGACCGAATGAATTTCAAACCTCCACTATTGTTCCACGATGAAGACGATGCCGAAAATCGAATGATACATACATTGTCGGCAAGGTCTCGACGAGACAGTTCCAATGCCGCCATTTCCGGCACCGCCACTGCTTCTTCTGTGGAGCTGCTGATATTGTGTGTGCGTGTTCGTCCCATCTATTCTGGCGCCGGGTTGCAGGCCTTTCGGCGGATTCCTGACGTACGACATCAGTCGAGGTCCCACAACAGGAACGTCACAATGGAGCTTTTTTCATTATTATTGTCTGTTTCACTCGATCGATACCTTGGGGGTGGTGAGGTAGATGCACCTTGCCGTAGCCCCGTGCTGCCGCGCTAGGTCCAGCCACCCTGCCCTCGTGCCCCGCTGCGAGGCCGAACCAAAAAGACAACAAATCCACGGAACAAAACACCCTACGGATCAACCCATGTCGCAGTCAATCATTTCGAGGGACGGGAGAGATGATGGAACACTCCAACAAATATCCTCTCGTGCCCGCTGACGGACAGCAGTAACCCGTCTGTGGCTGGCTTAGGCTTGAGTGTACCGTACACGGGTTGCGGCCGTGTTGGTGACAGGAGAGAAGGCCGACCTACGGGGAGGTGTTGGTCGGCCAGGGGCACCGTGTTTCTGCCTACGGGGGGTGGTAGTCGCAACCATCCGTGCAACACGAAGGTTGTAGCGAGTAGGACTCGGGGGTGTCTACGCGACCGTGCATGGCCGCAGATTGGTGAGTGCACCTGCTCCCCAGCTGGAGGGCGTGGTAGCGGCCACCCACGTTGGCACAAGAGAGAGAACAACGAGTTATCGGAGGAGAGTCCTGCTTGATCCGAAAATGTTAATGTAGTGGGTGAACATCCCCAAACATCTCATGCCAACAGGCGCCTCTTCTGTTTGTGGTGCTAAAGACATTACAGCGCCTCGGTTTGGGGAAAAAACAACACGCAAGTTTCGAGACACCCTGTCTGTTTGTCTCTCCTTCTCATTATCTCATTCTCTCCGTTTCCACACACACACACACCCCTCTCTCTCTCTCTCTTTCTCTCTCTCTCTCTGCCGTCTCTCTCATTCTTAATGTGTGGCAAACTCTCTCTGTCCTTCCTTCCTTCTCCCTCTCACCCCGGCGTTGGTAGCATCGATCACGACGCTCCGCCCTCCCCTCAGCCGCTCCCCAGCCTCTCGTTCGCACCGCTTGAGGCTTTTTAGCTCGTCCTGGTTAATCCTTTCCCGACACAAAACAAAGCAAAGGGACAGGAACTAAGGGCACGTCACCGTATGTAGATTAGTAAAACACAACTCGGTGGGGCCAGCAACATGGTTGCGGCATCGTCTCATTCTCGCATGCTTTGCTGATTTCCCTTCTATTCGGCTTCACTTTGAGCTACAAAGCTTTCTACTACCTCCATCACGGTCACCTGGGTAATTCATTCTCTACTACCACCACTGTTCTCAACATCTGAGGGATCAAAGCCCCCTCTTCCGCCTCACTCTGGCCCATCTTCTCTCAAAAGAGGGCTTGAGGGGACGGTGGTGTCTCAATCTTCACCTCGCGTGATCTGGCAGCTTGTCCTTGCACAGCGTACTCTTTCCCCCACCGGGGGGCCCCACCAACACCACCATCTCCAACCCGCCCCCCCCGTCTCCCTCACGCCGCGAAAGACTTTCCGCGGAGCCACCCGAACCTTTTCCTAGCAGGGTGGAAGGGTCGAAGCCCAACATCGCCAAGGACCTGCAACAACAAGCGCAGCAACGGCGAGTTTGAGATTCAGCGGGGGTAAGGTGGTGAACTACAGCCTCCATCGAGGGTACGCGGAGAATTGCAGCGACGCGGCAAGATGAGATGAGATGAGATGAGATGAGATGCACTGGTTTGCCGTTTGTCGTTTGTGGGTCCGGGCGGGTACTATACTGTAGCATTGGGAATACCGCTGTCACTCGATGCCGCGGAGCGCGGAAAAAAAAGGCGAAACGGCACACGCCCAGCCGCTCTTCCGAGACGGCCGGCAAAACACTAAAATTCAATCAGTTTTGGTTCCTGTTCAACCTCAACCAACCGCTTGCAAAAAACCTCTCTAATCGAGTCGACTATTGCACGTGTAATACCGCAGGTTGTGTAAGGTACCACTCCTCCCTGAACGGATTTCTAGAGCTCGATTTCTCCACGACGAACAGGCTGCCAAGAAAAAAATTGGATGCTTTTGGAAAGCTCTCGACGAGACGGATCCAATGCCGCAATTTTCGGCACCGCCACTGGTTTTGCTGCAGAGTAATCGAGCTTCGGAAAACGGTCGAGGGGGTGGGGTATCCTACATCATGCAACCCACCGTTGTCGCGTCGTTGCTACCATACCTGTTCTTGTGGATGGGCGTCGTGGATCGCATGAAGAACTGCTCGGGCGTCTGGAAGGGAATCTTGGCGTTCAGCGCCAGCTTTAAGTCGCCCGCAGAAAAATCCTGGAAACGTGTTCGAGACATGCGACAGACGCGAGAAAGAAGACCGTCACGAACGCGACTAACGGTACCGGTAACGATAACGGTAACGGTATCGGTAACGGTAACGGTTCTTCCACCATCGTGCCTGAGAGCGCGTCTGAGATGCTGCCGCAAAGATCGACAGTGCTGCAGCAAACATCGGCTGTTCCCTCATTCCAATACACGTTTACGCGTGAGGCCTTAGTGGCTTGCCAACCCTAATAGTTGGTGTGGAAACTATCAGCAGTATCGCCAATCAGTTGGGACGGAAACCCTAGGCGGTTTCGCCACAATTTTGGCGTGGAAACTATCTGCGGGTTCGCCGTTCATTTGGGATGGAAACCCTTGACGGCTTGACAACGTATTTGGCGCGGACACCACAGTCCTCACATTCCGATACACCGGTACGTGCAGGCCCGCTGTGGTTTTGCCTACCATCATGATGAGAAAAACTGGGTATTGCTATCCACTAGAGATGGAAACCCTATTTATAGGATGTTTTGGCTGGCGACGAAGTATTGCTATCCAATAGAGATGGAAACCCTATTTATAGGATGTTTCCCCACATTGGCTGGCGACGAAGCCATCAGCGGTTTCGCCACAATATTTGGCGTGCAAGCCCCTATCGATTGTCGGTTACACCTTCTTGTGGGTCCCCTGCTTGGGCCTTCCCGCGGCGTCCCCGACGTACAAGCACGCCGCCTTCTCCACGTCCAAACCCCCGTTGTAGGAGGTGGACACCATCTCCCAGCACCCGGGACGAGGCTGCCAATAATACAAAAAAAAAAGTTACAGACATCAATGACACGGGGTGTCCACACCATGAACTGGGGGTCGCCATTTTTCACCCGAGAAGCATCGTATGCTGTCCTGTCCTACGGCTTGACTTGCCGAGTCGACGAAAGAGGACTTGGTGGGTTGCTTATGGTGGACTGGGTGCTCATGGAAGGGTGCCTACCACAAGCGTTTCGGACGTAGCGCACCCTTGTGCGTACAACCGTAACGACGGCGACGGAGCGTGTCCGTCGAGCTCCCGCATCAGGGTTGGCAATACCGCATGCCAATATCGCACAAACGTACATACTACCGTACCATATTCAAAAGCAACAAAAACCCGGTCCGGGAATCATGCAGAGTGCCTATGCCTGCCGGGGGAAAATGTGGCTCGGCTGTGCAAACACTCCACCTGCACAATTTCCGATCGCCAGCACGAGGTCGCTCACGCGCTGTGTTGCGGGCTCTACACCGCAACACCTCAAGAGATAAGAACGAATAAACACGCTTCCAAGGTCACAACAGCAGCCGGAGCAGCAGCGGGGTGTAAACCGGCACCTTTCTGTAGTAATCGTCACGGCAAGCCAGGTAGGCCTCAACGGGAATGCCTAGAGCCTTCACAACGGACCGAACCTTCGCCTTAAGCTGAAACGGATCAGACAGACAGACAGAGCCATAACCATACGCCGCCAGAAACGGAAAGAGAGAAACGAAGGAAATTAGTTGTTTGGTGTGGTGTTGGTGCACTCGGCATGGAGCAAATGTGAGCTGTTGATGTATTCGGTTTGGAGCAAATGCGACCCGCGTCGTGACTCTTCGCTCGCAGGCAGGTCCCTGGGGGCGTTGGGACGTTATTCAGTGTGCGTATCCGTGCTGGGTGACTGACTCGATTCGACACCACGAGGTTGAGGCTATCATTTTACGCCAGCCACGCTCGGGTACTAACGAGCGGTCCGCGGCGGAGAAATGACCCCGTACTTCATAAACGCTGTGCCTCGCGTTAAAGAAGCGCAACATTGTCTGAAAAACAATCGGCACAATAGATGGTACAAATGTGTGGGCAACCTCTACGTATGTCGACCCCCAAACCCAACAATAGACGCATGAGAGAAAATCGTTGGAATATCCAGAAAAAAATCACATCAGTAGGTGGGGGGGGTGACGTGCGTCATGCACTAGGAGGCAACCCGTAAGCGAGAGGATGAAGGATTGACTGCTGTCGCTAGCAAGAGACATCACCGTTACCACGAGATCGAGCATCAGCCATCACCAGCAACAGCAGCACCTACCATCAGCGCAACAGTCCCTCCGGCGAGGAAGAACACCGAAAAAACGGACATATCACAAAGAAACACGCTGCGAGGCCCCGTGAACGCCATCAACGTACACCACGCTACATCACCACGCTACCCACGCACGTACCATTCGCGGGTCCACCTTTCCCGTCCCGACGCCCATCTGGTTGGAGATGATGGCCACCTTGTACCCTCGGTCATGCCACTTTCGCAGAACTGTCGGGATCTTGCCGTTCCAAAGCTGCCAGTCGTCCGCAGCATCTCCGAAACGCTTCCCTGTCGATTGGTCGATTGGTCGATTGATGGATGCCACCCCGGGCGGGTGGGGGGGGGGGGGGCCNGGGGGGGGGGGGGGGGGGGGCACTTGGGTGATACTGGACCGGAGGGGGGCTCCGTATGACAACGAGATGTGTACGTAGTAAATCGAGGATACTCGAGCAAAGGTTTGGGGTGCACTGAGAGACGCCAATCGGCGCCTGTCGAAACCTTACTGTGTCGTGTTAGTTACTCTTCGACGAAGGGCCAACGCTGCTCACGCATTCTTGGTGGGATAAAGTTTACCCTTACTCACCTCACCGCTGCATAAAGAAAGTAAAAGGAAGCAAATAAAACCAGGAGCAAACCTGCAAAATATGAAACAGCGGTTTGGAATCTGAAGGGTTACAACGAGAGCACCAAAAATGTGTCGTGGACGAAAACAATGCCGACAACCACACCTGACTTGGTCTTGATGAGCGTCCCGTCCATGTCGAACGCCACTATATGGGTGGAGACCCTGCTTCTGTCGGGCACCCACCGCAGCACCGATCCCTCCATCAGCTCTTCCCACCTGAACACATTCATCGATAGCGACAACAGCAACGGCACTATGGAGGATTGCGATGAGCAACTCCAACCTGGACCAATTCGGACCCATCGTTGAAAAGTTGAATCTGATTGGCTGCCCATGTACAGTCGTCGCACCGTTGCGTGGTGGTCTCCAGGGGGTGGTCCTCAAGTACATGTACTCCAAGATACGCACGAAAACAAGGGGGTGGCAGTAGGGACAAAGACTTTCCCTGGCAGACACTCCAACGGACTCGAAACGGGAATCATTGTACCTTGTGTGTCGAACCCAGGGGAGCGGGGGCGTGATGCTAGAGGGCGCCGGGTTGTGGTTGGGCTACCTCAAACCAAGGCCTGGCCGATGGTTTTGGTGTTGTCCTATGCATCATATTATGTCCCCTGCTCAAATAACACTATTGTAGACTTGGCGAGAATTTTCTGTCAAACCATGGCAACCCAATTCCAACGAAACAACCACAATATCATCCCCCCCTCCTTTCCTGCAACCCCTCGCCTCCCCTCCTCTCTCGCCACCGAAACTGCCAGCAACTCCCGACCCCGCCTCCCATAAATATCCCCCCCTCCTCTTCTCCATAAGGCTGCTTACCTACCGCCCTCACTGCTACTACCCACGTCACCCCCGCCGTCCCTCCAAACCGGTTCCTTGGATAGGACGCCCGGGCCGTCGGATCCTCCCGAACCGGCACCAATGGTGCCGCCGCCGCCAGCGGTCAAGCTTGAGCCCCCTCCGCCATCGTTCCCTAGAGCGACGAATTGAATGGGGAAATACGAGAGAAAAGAAGCACACGGTCTTATGTGGCATCGATTCTACGGTGCCCGGCGAGCGGGGAGTTGTGTCCTGTGTGGTACAGGTACATACCACGCCTCGTTCCTCTGTGAAGGTTGCCCGTCCAAGTGGCGACCTCTACAACTATCTGCTGTTCTCTTCCCTTCTCTTCCTCCCTTCGTGAAACTTGACCCATTGGTCAGGGATGACGGCCGCACGACACACCTGTACCTGTACCTGTACCTGTACCGTTCTCTGCCCCCGAAGCAACCAGACACGGCGTCGGGAACACCAACACCAACCTTCGGCAAACCAACCCCAGCTATCATTGGATGAGCATCCATCAAACAGACATCAACAAAATACCTCAAGTCGAAGAGGAAGGTAACATCCCGAAAGAGGAAAAAGAGGAAGCATTGGCCAGAACCAAAGCCGCATCACCTGCGGCCTTCGCTTTGGACGGAGCAGGGCGAGCGAGGCAACCCCAGGAAGAAGACGACGAAGACTTTGACGCTGTTGAGGCGGAGGGGGGCAGAGAAAAGAACACGTAGGTGGAGGGGGGGGGCGCAGTCCTAAGGGGCGAGCATCACGGCATTTGCAAGCGGAAATTATAAATCTCCAACAAAGTGCTGTCTGTTTGGATGCCCCTCTCTTCTTGTCAGCCGTCCCCGACTAGAAAATTCGAAGCATACTCTAAGCTCGATGATAGGCTGCGGGACCCCCCCTTCCCGATTGTGCGGAAAATGCGGGTCATTCTGCACGCTTCTCAAGATGAGAGGAAGGGAAACATCCTTGTCAAACGTGTGGACGGCTGTCAGACCTTCTAGCTGAGTAGTCCAATGGATTAGCCTCTATCTACTATTCCATGTACGGTCGTCGCAGCTTGGAGGCGAGGGGGAGGGGTGGGGAGGGGCTGTGTTCACGTGGTGGTTCACTTTTCACCCATCTCGGTCAGGACGGAAAAACGTCAGTTCATGCTTCTCGTACCCCCGTCCAAAAGTCCGGGCAATCCCTAGATTTCCTTCATGGAACACACCGAGCATCCGTGCTGAACAGAAAGCCCTAATGCTTCACTCCATGTAATAGCTTCCACCCAGGCCCTGGGCAACCGTTTCGACAGAGAGGTACGTGGGAGCCTGCTCCTTGGAAATACTCCTAGTGGTGCACGACTGTGCGATTTCCCGTAGGACACACCTCCACCGCTGCCACCAGCACCGGCACCAGCACCAGCTGCACCGGACACGGCAGCTGTAGGACACTTGTTGGAGAACTTCTTCGCCGTGGCGGGCGTGATGGTATCAAGCAGGTGCGATCCCATCGGCTGGGCGGAGCCCACCCGGAGGCACTCAGACAGCCACGCCGACCCCACCACCTGCAGTTTGTGCGGTAATGCGGGACGGTTTGGTGCACGGGATGATGAGCACCCCCGCCATGTTCTGTTCTGTTGGGTTAGAACCAGCACCAGAACGATGCGCGATTTGATGAAATGGAGCGAGCTCGCGGCGACGACGGTACAAGAAATTGCAGTATCTTGTTTTCTATTTGGGCTTGATCGGAAAGAGGAGAGCATGTCAAGGCTCCGCCTGTTCGAGGTGTGATGTTGCACGTGGTGTAGATTGTAGACAAGGGGAACCACACAAGTTCCCTCATGCGCACCGTGAACGTCGTGGGGACTCTGGAAAAAATGTGCGGGAACTTCATCGCAGGGCTAACTCAGCAGCGACCGCAAGGGTATGGCTCTGCCATTCTAAGTGTCGCTATCCAACCCCAAATGCTAACCTCCCAAATGCTCACCTCATGCTATCGGCCAGCCGTCCAAAGGACTGCCACGCTTTTAGGATACCACTTGGGGGCCACAGTCTGACGAAAATAAATAAATCCCCAGGCTCTATCGATGACCCCCCCCCCTCCCCCGCCCGAATATCTAACGGCGCTTCGCGCTTGGTGATGTGAGAGCCTGGTCCGGTGAGAACCCGGCGTGCTCCGTCCCGGCTTTGTAGGGATGCGAGGTCCATGGTCTAACGACTACGGCATGCACGACTATGAGTACACCCCCCCCCGCCCCCCTCCCCCGCCCCCCCGGTGTTTGCCATCGGGATTGGGTTTTAGTCGCTTGGCAACGACGTTGTAAAACAAGCCAAGCCGCCCCTCCCGGTGTTTGCCATCGGGTTGGGTTTTCGTCGCTTGGCACGCACCACGTTGTGTTAAAATGGTCAAGCACCCTCAAGGCAGCCTCAAGGCAGTTACACACTGCTTACAACTGTCTCTGGAAGTGAAAGCACCAGAAAGTAAA